GCAAATATTAAGCTAATTTGATCCTAAGATATAGTCTTCTGGTGGCATAAGGTGACTCAAGAATAAAATTGGGAGTATGTGAACCAGCCATCAGAAGGCTATTACATTGTATTAGCAAGTTTGGATAGAAGCTGAATACATTTGTTCATGTCTTAAGCAAATGTGCATGAGCCATCCATATGCTAGGCACTGTGTTAGATTCTCGGTATCCAAATATATTTTTTAAAATGTTTCTACCTCAAAGGGGCTAGAAATTATTTAAGAATTAGACAAGCCAATTAAGAGAGTGAAGTAAGTTAATTACAATAAACTATGTTCATATTGTACAAAAGGATATGCCCTTAAACCTATCTGACAGAGTAAAAGAGGATATCAAAGTGGAGGTAAAATTTGAAATGAGACTTGAGGGATGAATACGACTTTCCCAGGCAAACAAGGGAATGGTTGGGCAATTTTAAGAGATAAAATGAACTGAGGTTATATTCTCTGATAATGTCTGAAAGGGCAGTAGTATGTATTGCTCATCATAGGCAGGGTCATAGGATGCAAAAATCCAGACACTAATAATTGCTATCATTTACTAAGCATTTGTTTATTCACAATTATAGAGATTAAAACATAAATTTTTCAGTGGGTAAAGTAAGTCCATGAGAGGTCAAATAAGTTTCCTGAGCCATATAGTTTTTTAAAAGGGCCATGTTACCAACTACTATGCTAATTTTATGTATGTGATAAGGTTGCCATCTTATGAAGGTTAAGAAGCTTTACTAAAATTCTCATCCAGATGACAGAGCGTCCTACTTTCTCACAAAGGTAATATGTGGAGATATCGTCAGGCAAAATCAGACTTTGAATGTAATGGATCTTACATTCAGATCAATTCTAATGTACCTGGACATGTGCTCATCTAACAAAGCATGACATAAATGGAGTTGACCTAGAAAAATGATGAAAACAATAGTCAATAGGCACTTTTCATGAAGCAAGAAAATGTGGCAATTGATACAGAACAAGTTTCCCACTGTTTTACTATTATACATTAGTTGCAAAATGTTTCCCAACCTGAATATGAAAGTACAAAAATGAGTTCTATGCTGCTATAAGCAATTTTTAACTAAATTGCTAAGTTTTGAAAGATAAGTGCCAAAAGAATGGTTTAGGATTCTACCTAAATGTTGAGACATTCTTAGTAGTAATTTGTTAATAAGACAATTCTAGTTCTTGATAGTAAAACCATGCCATCAATATATACATAGACACTAAACTTTTTGTACACAGCATCTGCACCAGGAGATTCGATCATTAAAACATTAAATTATGTATTAAAGACAATGGTAGCTAACATATGGAACTCTTTGCTCTTACTTGAAATAATGATCTTTCAAAGGACTATGACAGTCTCCTCTGATTATTCATGGTATTAAAATGCCCATTTAAGGTAAGTATTAAATGCTGAGGTTCTGCTTGAAACTCCTTTAGTCCCATCAATAATAATCCTTGGAGTTAAGGTGATCAACCATACCTGGAAACAATATTATGTTATTTCTGGCAGTTTTCTCTACAGTTGAAAGACAACATTGTAATTTTTTTTCTCCTTTATAATTTATTGATTAAGGTATTTCATATGTGTCCTTATCCCCCCATTGCCCATCACCCCCCACTCATGCCTCACCACCCAACACAGTAATCTTTGACAGCAAAGTATTCTACTTCTAATCTAACTGTTCAATGTTTTCTAGGGTTGCCTATCACATCAAATTGATTGAGAGTTTTGTAAGAATAGAGGATTATCTTTTGGGAAAAATTGAGTGCATTATACTTTGAATAGATCCAGTGAAAATCATAACTAAATCAGCTGAAGAGTAAATAATTTTAAAGACTCTAAAATGTCAGGTAGTGAAGGGTTTTTCTTCCAAATTATATTAAATTAGAGGTGGCTGATCAAAAAGTGTGAAGGATTGGGTTCTGATGTAACAGTTAAACAGAGATCCACCAGGGTCTCTTAAATTTCAGTCAACATTATTCAACAACTATTGAGAATTTCTATGACATGCTAAACACTGGAGATACAGTAGAGAGCACAGTGGATATTATCTCTGCCTTCATGGATTTTTTTTGTTCAATCCTTGGGTAGATCAGACATGAAGCAGTCACAGAAATAACAATGCAATTTCACCTGTGGCAAATGCCATGAAGTACAATTAAGAGGATCTCTATGTATTGTATAATAGATCTGACCTAGTCTGGGGGGGACAAGGAAGGTTTCCCCTAAAAAAGTGACACATTACCTAAAACTTGAACAATAGGGAGTTAACAAGGTAAAAAATCTATAACGGGTAAAAGTTGGTAAGACCACAGGTACAAAGCATCCCAGGCAGAGAGAATAGCATGCAAAAGAGGATGCGAGGCATGAAAATATGTAATATTATTGAGGAAATTAAAAAGGACTAGTGTGTATGGAGCAAAGCATGTAAATGAGGAGAAGGTAGAAATGTGGCTGGGGAATATTGATTATATCATGTAGGGCCTTGTCCACTGTGTTAAATATTTTGGTCTTTATCCTAATGTTACAGAAAATCAAAGAAGAACAAAGCAATACTTAGAGAGATGGAGTCACATTTATTACGCAAGGGTTCAGAGGAAATGTATCTCAAATTCTGAGCCCCAACATGCAGGAATTCTCCATATTTATATGTTTTAACCTTCTTTGTCTCCCAAATATGGAGTGTTTCCGGCCCCCTTTTGCAAGTTCTTAAAGAGTCCATATGTACTGGGGCCTTGAGATTTCTATCAGAGGCCTGGCCTGGCACCAGCACTGATAACCTTGTCTGGGGAAGGGTAAATTTACAGAAGCCAAACAGCAGGGTTAAAATTTCAAACAGCAGTTTTCATACAAGATGGATGCTTCACTAAGACAATAGGAAAACAATGCTTAGTTTAAATCAGTGCAGTGAGATGGCCATATTTGCATTTTGAAAACATTACTCTGGTTGCAGTGTGGTGAACTGAATGGAGGAGGGCAAGAATGGTTGCAGGAAAATCATTTAGGAGTCTACTACAGTTGTTAAGACAAAACAGTTTCATAGAAGAGTGGAAATGGTGAGAATTGAATGGATTTGAAAAACATATATTAGAAGATAGATATTGGACCTAAAGATAAGGAAGCATTATGATGTGTCACATTATGATGTGTCACATTATGATGTGTCATCATTATTCTTAGGTCTCTGGTTTACACAGCTGGATGAATGGTGGTGCTATTCATTAAGATACAATAGGAGACAATAGATGATTAAGTGCCTGAGAATTGAAATGAAAATCTTGCGTTTAAACATGTTGAATTTGAAGTTTTGGTCTTCTTTGAAAATTATCTTTATTGTTGAAAGTATTACAGATGTGACTCCCTTTTCCCCATTGACCCCTTCTTGCCCACTCCCTCCTCCCATCTCACCTTCACCACACTATTATCTGTGTCCATGGATTATGCATATATGCATACCAGTTCTGTGGTTACTCTCTTCCCACCCATCCATCCACACCTGTCTTCCCTCAGAGATTCATCAGTCTGTTCCATGTTTCTATGTCTCTGGATCCATTCTGTTCATCAGTTTATTTTGTTCTTTAGATTTCACATATGAGTGAGATCATGTACTTGTCTTTCTCTGACTGGATTATTTAGTTTAGCATAATACTCTCCAGGTGCCTCTGCTATCTCAAAGGATAAGAGATTTTTTTTTTTCTTAACTGCTGCATATTATTCCATGGTATAAATGTCCTCTTTGATATGCAAAATGACAAGTAGGAAGTTGGACCTGTTGGTTTAGGATGGAGATTTTTTTTTTTTTTAATTAGGAAGCATTAGCATATATAGTGTAGTTGAAGCTAATTACAAATCAATATCTAAATTAGGGAAAAAAATAACTGGGTATCTACATCCAATTAATACGTTACAGAGCCTGGGCTAGAATAAAGATAATGCAAAGGCTCTACATACAAATGTAAACAAGATGTCAAAATATTTTTAAGGGCAGCCTTGTTTTACATCTAAATACAATATATCAGAAATGATTTTGTAATCTCATTTCTGAAGACACATGCCTTTATACCTGAAAATCTGTTCCAATCTATAAAATCTGTACTTGTTAGATCAATGAACAATGTAGGCATAATCTCATTCATGTCTTCTTTTATTTGTTTGCCTCATATTAGTACAAGATCAAGTCCCGCCCTCCCCCAATTCTGTCCAATTTAAGTTTTATGAACAGTTGGTCAATGCCCAAGACCAGAGGGGCTGCAGCACAGACCTAAAGAGAAGGGTCTTCCTGCCTCTGCCAAACACCCTCATTGCCCATCAAGTTCAATCTCTAATTGCAGCCACGGGTGTCCCAGGAATGCATCAAGTGCATATTTGTTTCTTCCACAGAAGTTGTCCTGGCTTCTTCTAGCCTCATACTTGACCACATTTTAGCTTTTGCATTGTATTTAAGTAGGCTAGTTGGATGTTGTCCTGGGGGTAGTGAACCCCCAGGCCACCAACCCCCAGTAGGCTTTGATAGTGGATGTGTTTGCCTGGAGAAATCTGGGGATCCTGGAAAGCTGGCCAGAGTTGAGTCTCCCAGATCAGGCTCCATCCCCCACCTCCCGCCCCCCTCCAACTCCTCCCACCCAGGCTTATGCTACCAGGCACCCCACCCCCGCACCCCGCCGGCTCCTCCCGCTGCCTCCGCCCCCTCTTTAACAGCCTCCCTTACCGTCCTCTTCTCACACCCACTGGGCTCCAGCCTCGCCGCCAGCCACACTTCCAGCCCTCGCCTGGACCCTTGCCGCCTTCTCTGCCCGAGATCGGTTCCTGGGCCCCGTTCCTCCCCGATCCCGCCACCCTCGCCTACTTCCCTGCTTCCGCGCCCGGGACTCCATAGGCTCTGCGCCCCGCGGACGCCCACGACTCCTGGTCCTTGAGAGCCCGCGCGCCCTGCTGACCTAGGTGCTTCGGTCGCCTCCGCCACGGCCAACACGGGTGACCCACACCGACCCCGACCCCGACCCCGACGTCGGCACCGCTATCGCCTTCGCCACAGCCGCCACACCACGATCTCTGTCACCTCCACCACCCGGCGGCCACCCCCCAGGGCCATGGAGCAAACAGGTAGCAGGAAGCGGAAAGCGCCCGCCATCGAGGGGGCGGCTGAGGGCGCGTCGTCGCGGGGCTCGGCAGCGGCGGCCGGGGAGGGCCCCCAGTTGCTGCCCAAGAAGCAGAGGCTGCTGGCCGCGCGGCGCTCGCTGGTGCCCTGCCTGCTGGGCCGCTCGGTGGGCTCGCGGGGCCGCGTGGGGTCCCCGGGCTTCGAGGGCCGGCTGCGCGGCTACGCGGTGCAGAAGCTGCCTGAGCTGCTGCGGGAGCGCCCGCTGGCCCTGGGCACCCTCAACAAGGTGTTCGCGTCGCAGTGGCTGAGCACCAGGCAGGTGGTGTGCGGCACCAAGTGCAACACGCTCTTCGTGGTGGACGTGCAGTCCGGCCACATCACGCGCATCCCGCTCCTGCAGGACGGGGGCCCCCAGCCAGCGCGGGCCCAGCCCAGCTGCGGCATCCACGCCATCGAGCTGAACCCCTCCAAGACGCTGCTGGCCACCGGGGGCGAGAACCCCAACAGCCTGGCTGTCTACAAGCTGCCCACCTTGGATCCCGTGTGCCTGGGCGACCACCAAGGCCACAAGGACTGGATCTTCGCCATCGCCTGGCTGTGTGACAACGTGGCCGTGAGCGGGTCCCGCGATGGCACTGTGGCTTTGTGGAGGCTGGATCCGCACGTGGTCCATGGCAGCACCACGTGGCACAGTGACGCGGGGCTCCCCGTGTACACCCACATCCGCCCGAGGGATGTGGACCCCATCCCCAGGTCCAGCACTAACCCTACTAACCGGAAGGTGCGGGCCCTGGCGTTCAGTGGCAAGAACCAGGAGCTGGGCGCAGTGTCCCTGGATGGCTACTTCCACCTGTGGAAAGCCCGCAGCACCCTGTCCAGGCTGCTGTCCATCAAGCTGCCCTACTGCAGAGAGAACGTGTGCCTGACCTACTGCGACGACCTGTCCCTGTATGCTGTGGGCTCCCAGGCCCATGTCTCCTTTCTGGATCCACGCCAGCGCCAGCAGAACATCCGGCCCATGAGCTCCCGAGAAGGGGGCACTGGTGTGCGCTCTCTGAGCTTCTACCAGCACATCATCACCGTGGGCACAGGCCATGGCTCCCTGCTCTTCTACGATGTGCGTGCCCAGAAGTTCCTGGAGGAGAAGGCCTCTGTCATCTTGGATTCCTCCCAGGAGCCTACAGGGAGGAAGCTCAGGCTCACCTGTGGCAGAGGCTGGCTCAACCACGATAACCAGTGGATGAACTACTTCGGTGGCATGAATGAGTTCCCCATTGCTCTCTACACCCACTGCTACAACTGGCCGGAGATGAAGCTCTTTGTGGCCGGGGGGCCTCTCCCTGCAGGCTTCCACGGGAGCTATGCAGGCCTCTGGAGCTAAGGATGGCCACTGTGTTCTCTAAGGGCCCAGACTTTCCCTTTAGGCCCCTCTCCTTTTCCTTCACACCACCCATCTTTTTTTGCAAAGAATTTTAGTTAACCATTAATTGTATTCTCTCTTTGAGTGATTCACATATGCTATCTCTCTGGGCTGTACAGTCATGGTTCCCGTTATAATTCAGTGCTTTAGTTTTTACCAGTATTTCAATAGTATGTTCAGGTCACATATCTGATGTATGTTATTTCAGGAAACTGTGCTACAAAGTGTCTTTTGGGCTGGTCTGAGAAACAACCCATAATATAACAGGGGCAGGTTTATAACCCTGCTCCAATCAGAAAATGCTTTTCAAGTTCTAGATTGCCACCATTTGGAGGGTGTTTCTTTTAGATGTTGGAAACTCAGTGTTTGCTCTTTGTGTATTGTTGGTGCATAAAATACCTTAAAAAATATGTTCTCTTAGTTAAGAAGTCTCACGATGGTGTTCATCCTATTACTGTATTTTTCGGACCATAAGGTGCTCTGGACCATAAGACGCACCAGTTTTTAGAGAAGGGAAATGAAGAAAAAAAGATTCTGAAACAAATAGTGTCCTAAAATATTTTATGTGCATTAAAACCCAACATCACAGTCATAAACACATGTAATCAACCCTGTAAAGTAAACAGCAGCATTTAGAACCATTTTAGAGCCGGGCAAGCACACAGACCACACAGAGCCGGGCAAGTAAAAAAACTTTTTTTTTAAAGTATATGTGTAGGCTATATTTGGACCATAAGACGCAGGGACTTCCCCCCCCCCCCCCACACACACTTCTGGGGGGGAAAAAGTGCGTCTTATGGTCCGAAAAATACGGTAATTGCAGTTTTGCTTATTCAGTGTAAATTTAGCACCGCTACCCCTAGGGTATCATTCTTCTTGTTTAAAGCTGCTATATTATGGCCTGCTTTCTTGGGCAGCATTTATGATGAAGATTTTCAGAACTAATCAAAACTGAGCTACATGTGGCAGGACAATCAGGGAGGTTCTTTTTGGGGTTAACATTTCTTTAAAATTCAGGTAGCCATTTATAGAGCAAGGCTGATTGTTGTACTCAATGTAGTTGTTTCTGACAGGTTTTTTTTTTATTGTATACATGAATAATGCTTTTATCTCAGACGAATTTGTGATGGATTGCAGAAAAAAAAAATAAACATTAGCATTTTAGCAATTAAGTGCTTCCCTAAAGTTTTTGAATGGTTAAATATACATTTTATTATATCTTAATTGTCCTTCTAGGAATACATTAAAGTCAGAATCTTCCAGGAGAGAAGCTGAAGCTGCAACATCAGCTATGCATACATTACTTTGTACACTTGTTTTTGAAAAGCAAACTTATGCTACTAACATGGGTTATAAGATTAACATCTTGAATACATAACATCTAAATGTACTTGCTATAAGTTAGGAAAGTTATGTGTCATCTTGTGTTTTTAAGATGATTTAACAAACATTTTTATTTACACAAATGTGCATGTTGTGCTTATAACTACCTATTCACATATACTGTATATTTGACTCCCCATGTAAGGAAAGGCATAAATATATATCACTTTTATGCAGATATTTCTAATATTTTAAACTACAACCATCAAAACTTCCCACTTGCTCTTTATTTTTGTATTTTAATTTAAATTAGGTAATACATGCACATGACCAAGACAATCATACTTTATAAAAGCTGTGTAGTGAAAAGTAAGTCTGAAACCCTGGGATTTCTTATCTTCTGCCCATACATCACAAGCAGTACATTAGTGTGTTTGTCTATTTAGAGATAGCACATGCTGCACATATCTGTGCCTTTTTATCATAACATTTTAGAGATTGTTTCTTATAAAAATTTATTTAATTCATATTAATTGTAGAGTAGTCCCCTGTGTTGTTGAAACATACTTTATTTATACATTACACATTTGATAAGCATTTATATTGGTTATTATTTTGTTACTATAAACTATTCCTCAGTGATTACTTAGGTGCATACATCTTTGTGCACATGTGTAAGTACATCTGTAGGATAAATTTCTAGAAATGGATTTCCTGGGTCAGTTTTATATTTAATAGCCATTGCCAAACTACCCTCCAAGAGGTCCTATTAACTTAACCTCCCATAAATATGTATGCATGCATGCTTCACCACACCCTTGCCACCAGTGTGTCATCAAATTCTGTGTTCTTTGCCAATGAGATATCCACCTGATTTTGATCCTTTCTTTCTAAGCCATGGTGACTGAGTCAATTAATTTGTGGTCAGAGTACCAAGAAGAATTTGAAACAAAGATCAAGAATGTGAGGAAATAAGGGTAAGCAAAAAAAATATTGTCAAACCACAGTTCAGGCTCGCATATCTGGAGATAGATTACAAAGGGCTGCATTCCTTAGATACTTAGCTATACCTAATAGGCTTTCCTGCTTTATTGCACCCCAGATTCACTTATATTCAATGCATCAAATGTCAGTGAAGAAAATCCAAGAAGATGATGATGAGAGTCAGCTCGGTAGAATATCTGAGGTAAGTGGGGAGAAAGATGAAAGAAATCTTAAAAATGAGTAAAAGTAAAATGTGCAAACAGTAATTTGTATTTCTTGTGAAGGGTGAAGAAAGCCAAAGAGTTTAAGTAGATTTCAAGGCTCTGGCTTGAATCTTAATAGTGGCAGCAAATGAATATAGGGAACATAGGCATAGAGGACACATGCAGAAGGTGATCAACTGGACTATGGACATGTTGAATGTGACGTACCTATGTGATATCAGGAGAACATGCCCAGTGAAGACTTGGCTGTATATCCCAGAAAGCTGGGTAAGTGAGTGATATGAAACGCTAGGAAATTCTCTTTTTATCATGCACAATAGAAAAGCCTATTAAGGATCCAAAAAAAGCAATAACAAAAAGGGGGGGGGTGTGTGGATACAAAATAGAAAAGCCTTATTTTACCCAAATTCTGTGACCTCATCAGCCTAAGACAAAATTTTAATACTAAAATTATGATGTATTTTGAGTCTCCTCCTCAGTTCCAAAGACAGTTTTTCTCCCAAATATACCCATCCCCCTAAAATATTTACCTAGGAACTTGCATCAATCGTCTAATTAAGTTTTTTCATTGGCCAAATGCTGGTACCTTGGAGAACTAAAAGTTGGACATTAGCCACAAAACAGGACTTCACAGTGATTGCTGGACCACTTAGCCTGATGGTCTGAGATGTTTCCAGCATTCTCAACAGTCAGCTGGCATGGGTACTCCCAGCAGCTGCACAGAGGTGAAGGATCGCCTCACCACCAGCAGCTGTTCCTGGCCCATGTTTGAGTTTCCGCCTCAATGCCACAGGTGCTGATCTCTGCCAATTTTCCCAGGCTACCAAAGCACAAAGGAAATACCCAGTGGAGAATATTCCTTTCTTCAGCACCACAATCACAAAAGTACAAATACAAAGAATTAGAAAAGAGATAGAGAAAATCATCACAGGCATAGATTGATTAGGCAGGCAACTGTAAAATCTGATTGAACAAATTATTAAATTATTTTGTGGAATTTATACAAAAAAAAAAGCCAACTGCAAATATACAACTAACTAAATTTTTTTCCTGAAAGAAATAAGAAATCAGAATAGATCATTAACCCTAGAAAATTGTGAGTGTTTTAAAATCTTCCCTTTCCTCCAAGAAAATCACACAAATGTATAATAGGCATGTTATGCCTGGTGGTCTCTCACGTTATTTCACATTGTCAAGAAATCTTTAATTTTGAACTACTTCAGAGCAAAAAAGAAAAGTTCACTCTTTAATGAGGCCAGCATAATTTTCATGACAAAAGTTGCAGAAAATGAAGAGATCAATTTGACATATATAGAAAATGTAGCTTATACTGTTAAAACACTGTAATCCATCAGTGTTATAAAAGGAGTTGAGAAGTCTATTAATTGAGTTGAGAGGTCAAATAATAAGATACATGTTCATGTTAATAAATTCCAGCCCTGGCCAATGTGGCTCAGTTGTTTGGGAGTCATCCTGTGCATGAAAAAGTTGCCAGTTCAATTCCTGATCAGGGCACATGCCCAGGAGACAGCTGACTGATGTTTCTCTCTCTCTCTCAAAATATTTTATAAATAAATAAATAAATAAATAAATAAATAAATAAATAAATAAATTTCAATAAATAATTTAGTAAAACCCTACAGTTTTGATAAAAACCTTAGTAAGTAAGAAGAAATATATTATTCAGGTGGTGAATATTATGTGTGTGTGTGTGTGTGGGGGGGTGTGTGTGTCTGTGTTGTGTTGTGTTTCACACCTGAACCAGAATCTCCTTTAATTGAACATTAGAGGAATTCCTATGAAAGTAAGGAACAAAACGATTCTACAAATCAACACCAATATTTAATATGAAAATTCTGGATATAGCGAGTAGAAACAGTAGTAAAATAAAAGATATAAATATTAGAAATGAGAAAGCAGTTCTAAAAAAAAAGCCAGCTGAAAAGTATGTTAGAAAACAATGAAATAGTTTAGTAAAATATCCAGTTTTGAAATTAATACATAAAGAATCAATATGTTTCTATTTTCTTTTATTTATTTATTCAGCAATGCTTGCCCCATGCCTGGCATTGTTATGTTCATATATAAGAGCTGGAGATACTATGATAACAAAACAGGCAAGCCACGCCCTAATAAGGCTTGTGGTCCCTTGAGAAGGAAAGAGATAATAAACATATAAACTAGTAAAGGTATATAGTATGTCAGATGATTGCCAATGCTAAAAGAGAATAGGGGATAAGAATTCCAGGAGAGATAAATTTTTACTTTATTATTTTTTCTGAGATATAACTGACATACAAATATTAATTAGTTTCAGATGTACAGCATAATGATTTGATATGTGTATATTTTGTGAAATGATCAACACAGTTTAGTTAACATCCATCACCATACAGAGTTACAGATTCTTTTCTTATGATGTGAATTTTAAAGTTTACTCTCTCAGCAACTTTCAAATATGCAATTATTATATAACCATGCTGGAAGTTTGTACCTTCTGACCCACATCACCCATTTCACAACATCCCACCCCAATCTTTTCTCTGTATCTCTGAGGGATGTTTTCTTTAGATTCCACATATAAGTGAAGTCTTATGGTAATCTTTCTCTTTTTGACTTATTTCACTCAGCATAATGCCCTCAAGGTCCATTCATATTATTGCAAATGGCAGAAT